GATGCGGGGCTTGAACTCACAAACCGCGAGATCATGACCGGAGCTAAAGTTAGCCACTTAACCAACTGAGCCACCCAAGTGCCCCAACAAAAGTTTTAAATATGTGTCATTGGCTTTGGGACTGGGTGATGGTCACCAAGAAAACTATTATAGGACGCCAGAAAAAATGGTAAGCTGTATTATGTAGTAGAAAAACGTTTGATAAAACTGTTGTCTGTAGTAACACAGAGGACGGCAAATGTTACTAATGAAGTTAGTATTAGGCAAGGAAATTTCAAAGCAGAATGTTGAAAGCATGAGCTGGTTGCTAAAAGGGCACAACTAGAAAATTCAGTCTACTACATCTGACCTCTTGGCTATAATTATTCATGTTGCTTCCATTCCACCTGCCTAGTTTGTCATCTTAATATGTATGTATGATGGAACATGCCACTTAGCAGGCTTTCCTTTAGTGCGAGTGGACAGAAAACTGCCCGGCTGCTGGTCTTCCAGATGCCACAAAGAGGAATGCCTGTGTTTGACCCACTAAAACCATAGTGTAAAGTTAATTTTTATGGTGATGTTTCTTCCTTCCTCCCTTTCTTTCTTCTTTTTAAGAGAAGGGCTGTAGTTAATAAGGATGTTAGTTGCTGAAACAAATAAACTTGAAAATTTCCATGTTTTAACAAAATAGCAGTTTATTTTTTCACTTAATGGTTTAGTGAGGTCTTCCTGTCAGGAGACAGCTTTCTGCCTGCCTGCTCAAGATTCCTCTGTCTTTTGGTTCTCCCATCCTTAAAATGCCTTGTGATTGTCCCCTTCAAGTGGAAGGGGAAAGGAGAATGGAGAAAGCATTTCCCTGGCAAGGAAATGATGTTACTTCTACTTACATTCCGTTGGCTAAAAGTAGTCACATGGTACTGCTTAGATGCAAGAGTGTCTGAGAAATGCTGTTTGTAGTTAAACATTTACTTCTTAGGGACAACTTTACAGTACAGAAGAAGGTGTATGAATTTTGGTTAATAGTTGGCCATCTTTGCTGCAAAGGACAGTTATACTCCTACTGTTTTTGGCAGGGGTAGATAATTGTGCTCCTTGTATGCTTTGTGAGTAGAGGTGGAAGAGGAAGGTGGAGGTGGAGTATTTGGTACAATTTTTCTATATTCAGATCTTCAATTAATCTCTGTTCTTACATGTTCTTCTCACCCCTTTCCTAATATAACTTAGAGACAGTTCTCCAGGTATCTCTGAGTTTGGAATCTCCATGGGGTTCTAGTGAGCAGGTCAGTTTTCACCTCAGTTGCAATTTCCTTCTAGTACATTATGTTCTGTTTAAGTTGTCAGCATACTCCTGTCTGTTTTTTGTTGAAATCTGTTGTTGGCCAGTCACCAACTCTTTCCAAGCTAACTTCTCTTCATTGTTATACTGGCACCTATACATTGTTTTTTATTTTAATCTTTAGGAGTCAGGTGAAATAAAAATAAAATATCTTCAATTAATATCTCTAATAAATTTTTAATTATTTTTAAATACATCCTGTTTGAGGAAGATGCATTTACTGTCCACCATAGGCTGACCCTTCTCTAGACTCTATAGGATATATGAAAACATAAAATGTATGATCTCTGCAAGTGGAGAATTCCCACCTACTCTACTCCAACTTTGATACGACTGCTGGCGTAACTTTCTAGAACACTTGATTCTATCATGGTACTTCTTTAGAAACTTTGATGCATTTTCCTTGCTTGTTTTTCCCTATGTAAACTCTGCCTGCCTTTCACTTCCCTTCCTCTCAGTACCTGCCCCTCTAGTGAGAAGTGTTCATTTCATTGTATTACCAACATGCCATGTTGATTCTCACCTTTGTGCCTTTGTATATGTTGTCTCCATTCTCTGGACTTACCATCTTTTTCATATCTGAGTCCTATTTAAATAGAGATGCTGAAATCAGATTTCATTTTTTTTTTAATGTTTTATTTATTTCTAGGAGAGAGAGAGAGAGAGACAGCGTGAGCAGGGGAGGGTCAGAGAGAGAGGGAGTCACAGACTGAAACAGGCTCCAGGCTCTGAGCTGGCAGTCAGCACAGAGCCCGACGCGGGGCTCGAACCCACGAACCGCGAGATCATGACCTAAGCGAAAGTCGGATGCTTAACTGACTAAGCCACCCAGGCGCCCCCAGATTTCATTTTTTTTTTTAAGTGAACTGTCTTCACTGCTCCAGACGTCAGTGATCTTTTTTCTCTGATCAGCAGCAGAGCTTTTTTTAAATCTATATTATTTATTGTTGAGTCACACTTGTTGGTTTTCTTTCCCATAAAATCGAGGAAAGCTCTGTGCTCTGTACCTCTTTGGGTACTCTATAGTGTCCAGCATAGTGAAGAGTTCATGCTAAGTATATAATAAATACTCATTTATTTTTCATGTTTATTTACTGTTGAGAGAGAGAGAAAGAAGGAAGGGCAGAGAGAAGAAGAGACAGAATCTGAAGCAGGCTCCAGGCTCTGAGCTGTCAACACAGAGCCTGACGTGGGGCTCAAACCCATGAGCAGTGAGATCATAACCTGAGCCAAAGTCAGACGCTCAACTGATTGAGCCACCCAGGTACCCCGGCCCTGAGTTGTTTAAACCAGTGGTATTCAAAGTGCTCTCTGCAGATTGATGCTGGTACACAAAATGTTATCACTGTGCTGGAATATAAGTGTAGAAATGAGAATTAGCTTTAGAAACTTTTATACAAATTTGGCAGTAACTTTATATGTGTTGAATTTATAATAAAAAAATTTGATTTCTATTTTGCATGTTTAAAAAGTTTCTGGTAAGGGCACCTGGGTGGCTCAGTCGGTTAAGCATCTGGACTTTGGCTCAGTTCACCATCTGCCAGTTCATGGAGAGCCCCATGTCGGGCTCTGTGCTGACAGTTCAGAGTCTGGAGTTTGCCTCGGATTCTGTGTTTCCCTCTCTCTTTGCCCCTCCCCTGCTTACACTCTCTTTCTCTCTGTCTCTTAAAAATAAGTAAACATTAAATTTTTTTTAATTTTGGTAATTTCTATTTCATTTTATTAAAGTATCAGTCCACAGTGGATTAGATTTTTTTTTTAAATGTTTACTTATTTTTGAAAGAGAGAGAGAGAGACAGGGTGAGTCGTGGAGGAGGAGACACACACACACACACACACACACTCACTCACTCACTCACTCACTCACTCAGAAGCTGGCTCCAGGCTCCGAGCTGTCCTCACAGAGCCCGACATGGGGCTTGAGCTCACAAACTATGAGATCATGGCCTAAGCTAAAGTCAGACGCTCAATTGACTGAGCCACTCAGGCGCCCTGGATTAGAAAAATTTTTAAAGTGGCATCTCACCACAGATATTTCCGGAAGCCCTAATTTAGACTACAAATATTGAGAATTTAGCAATGAAGAGATCAGTATACTTTGGACCAGTTGACGATTTCATGAAGAAGATGCGATCTCTTTTTAAAGGATGAATAGAATTTGGGTTGTTGTTACAACAATTTGGGTTGTTGTAAAGCACTGTGTCATTTCCAGCAGGGATAACAAGGTTTTGGACTACAAATGGAGATGTGCTTTGTGTTTTGTATCACAGAGGAGTGTCAGGGAGAAGAGTCCTGGCAGAGTTAAAAATTAAGTATACAGAAAGCTGACCAGACCCTCTCTCTCTGGCCCTCCCCTGTTCACGCTGTCTCTCTCTCTCAGAGATAAATAAAACATTAAAAAAAAAAAAAAAAAAAAAAGCTGGCCAGATAACAGGAGTATTTCCTATTTATTTTGTTATTGTTTGAACTGTTGTATGCTAAAGATTGTTGATTCCCATATGTCTGTTGCTAATTTTCCATGGGATTAGTAGTGAGTACATTTTAAATTTTGTCTCTTTGAAACGTTTCTTTTTAATTCAGCCTTTAAAAAATTAGATGGTTGGGGGCACTGGGTGACCCTGTCAGTTGAGCATCTCACTTTTGATTTCAGCTCAAGTCTTGATACCAGGGTCATGGGATCAAGCCCCTCATCAGGCTCTACATTGAATATGGAGGGCTTTCTCCCTCTGTTCCTCTCCCCCACTCATGCGTGCTCTCTCTCAAATAAAAAGGAATCTTCAAAACATTTTAGATGGTTGGCTTATTAATATGTTGTTGCTAAATTTATTCTAGCTTTAATATGAAGCTAAGTAAGTAAAATAAACTAAGGAAGAACAATTCATAAAATTTATTTTAAATTATAAACACCTGTTTTTGGGGTGCCTGGCTGGCTCATCCAGTGGAGCATGTGACTCTTGATCATGGGATTTTGAGTTCAAGCCCCACATTTGGCATAGAGGTTCTTTAAAAATGTAAAAAAAGATAAAAATATTTTTAAAAAACTACCTGTTTTCATCTTGTTCTCTATTTTCCTTTGTCAGTTTCATTTTGGAACAAAGCTTTTTTTCTCATGACTAAATTGTAGTCCTATGAATTCAGAATTCAGAGACATGGGATTAAAAAAATATTGGTATGACAGTTGCACCTAGAGAATTAACATTTAGTTTATAGCACAAAATGTGAACTGAACTAGTTACTTTTTTTAATTGTAGAAAAATCTACATAACAAAATTTACCATTTTAAGTGTACAGCTCAGTGGCATTAAGTATATTCACATTGTACAGCTGTCACCACCATCCATCTCCAGAACTTTTTTATTTTTCCAAACTTTCCCATTAAATAATAACTTTGCATTTCCCTCCTCTCCCCTGAACTAATTATTTTAAATTTACTTATTTCAGTATTTTCTTACTTGTCCTGTTTGCTGTCATTATAAATGAATGTATATTGAGTACTCCTTATATATATATGGAACTGGGGCAGATGCTGAGCAGGGTTGAATTACATTATAAAGAAGGCTGAGCAATTTACCATGATGTTAAGTGGTTTCCTAGGTTACAGTCTTGTATCATATTCTTTTTCTTCCATCCGTACCCCACTAAGTATGCAAAAGAATACTACCTATTTTTTTTTTTGTTTCAGAGGTTACCATGAAAATGTCTCCTTAACACCGGTCTGGAAATTCTAAAACAAGATTGAACTGAAATGCTGCTTTGATTTCATCTGAGGTTTTGGATACATAAATGAACATGTTTGCGAAATTATTAAATACGAAAATGGATGGTAACTTGTTATTTTTTTAAAGCCTGGATAAATTTTTATAGCTATGGCTACTGTATGTCTCTATCTCTACCTACCTACCTACCTACCTACCTACCTACCTACCTACCTATCTATCTAGTGAGGTGTCCTGGTTTTATTTCTTCCTCTCTTTTTCTCTGTCATGTTCATTTGTACCTCTTCCTCCCCCTGCCTATAAGTTTGCCTGTTTCCCACAGCTTTGCCTTTGGAAAATCTTTTGTTTAGAAATCTTACCTTTTTCAGTTCAGTTATCTCTCTGTGGGAAAATAACTTTTAAGTCTGTATTTCTTAACCCTGAGGCATAGTTCTGAAGCTAGAGCTGTGTCCTGAAATTTTCTCTTATGTGGTCTGCTTTTACCTCAAACAAAATGTGTCTAATGTTGGACTTAATCATTTTACATCTGCTTAAAACCTCCTCTCCCCTCCCTCCCTCCTCTCTCTCTCTCTGTGTTTGTTTCTTTCTTTTTCTCTTCTCTTCTCTTCTCTTCTCTTCTCTTCTCTTCTCTTCTCTTCTCTTCTCTTCTCTTTTTTCTCTTTTCTTTTGCTTAACTCTTAGTGGTCAGGTCTTTCCCTATTTAGCTAGTCACCAAATCCTGTCAACTATTTCTGTCCATTCTTTTTTTTTTTTTTTTTTTACAAATGGTTTATTGTGAAATTAGTTTCCACATAACACCCAGTGCTCATCCCCACAAGTGCCCTCCTCCATGCTCATCCCCCCTTCCCCCCACATCCATCAGTCCTCAGTTTTTGTCAGCATTCAAGAGTCTCTCATGGTTTGCCTCTCTCCCTTTCCCCCACCATTTCCCCCCTTCTTCTCCCCCTTGTTCCACAATTAAGTTCCTCCTAATCCTCCTATACGTGCAAACATAAGATATTTGTCCTTCTCTGCCCGACTTATTTCGCTCAGCATAACCCCCTCAAGGTCCATCCATGTTGCTACACATGGCCAGATTTCATTGTTTCTCATTGCCATGTAGTATTCCATGGTATAGATAAACCACATCTTCTTGAACCATTCATCAGTTGATGGACACTTAGGCTATTTCCATGTTTTAGCTATTGTTGAGAGTGCTGCTATGAACATTGGGGTACATGTGCTTCTATGCATCAGCATTTTTGTAACCCTTGGGTAAATTCCTAGCAGTGCTATTGCTGTGACCCTTTACATTCTTAAGCCACTCTCTCTAGTATAGCCTGATCACCTGATGCCTCTTAGTTCAGTACTCACCTAGCAATAGAATTTTCTCTCCAGTTTTTATACCACTTTCTCTGTAACTTTTCACATGAAAGTTCTGAATAACTATTTTGGATTATAGTTCATTGTGTCTCTTTCTCATCATTGTCTTTTTTATTGTTGTATGCCCCAGAAGGCTTGCATCATAGTTGGCAGTCAACAACTTGTTTTTGAGAATATGGTATTCTAACTATAACTTCTTCTTCTAATGTATTTTATACATCATTGCCATGTTCTTTCATTCATTTAACAAATATTTTTTTTTCCAGTTTATTTATTTTGAGAGAGAGAGAGAAAGTGAGAATCAGGGAGGGCCAGAGAGAGAGGAAGAGTGGGAAAATCCCAAGCAGGCTTCACAGTGTCAGAGTGGAGCCTGATGCAGGGATCAAACCCTGATGCAATGTTCAAACCCACGAACCGTGAGATCATGACTTGAGCCAAAGTCAGACGCTTAACCTCCAGAGCTACCCAGGTCCCCTTAAAAAATATTTATTGAGTGCTTATTTATGTGCCAAGGACTCTTTAAGTGCTAAGGATGTAGTAATCAACAAAACAAACAGAAACATGACTTCTGGTCTAGTAAGGATAAAAGAATGACAAATTAGCAAAATAAAATAAATGATGGAGTATGAAGGGAGTATCAAGTGTAAAAGTTGACATTTTGGATAAAGTGGCCAGGAAGGCCTTTCTATAAAGGTGGCATTTGAATAAAGAATTGAGTGGGGAAGGAATATCTGCTGGGAAGAGTATTCCAGGCAAAGGGAACAGCAGGCGCAAAGGACCTCAGATGCACGTGTGCCTGGCATGTTTGAATACGGCAGAGAGAATCATAGTGAGCTGGAAATGTGTAGTAGGAATCAAGGGTGTATGTTAGGGGAGAGGTATTGATTGGGAAGATCTGGTTTGTAGGTCACAATTAGGAGTGTGATTTTACTCTGCATGAAATGATGGCTAACCTTTGAACATACAAGTGAAGTAATCTGACTTACATGTTAATAGAATTATTATGTTCCCCTTTATTGAGGAGAGAGGGGAAGTAAGGAAATCAGGTAGGAGCTTTGCCACCAATCCTGGTCAGAGATAATGGTGGTTCAGACCTCATTGATAGTGGGAGTAGTGAGAGGTATTCTGATTTGAGAATATTTGAAGTGGAGCTAACAGAATTTTCTGATGGATTGAATGTGAGGTATGAAGGGAAAAGAAGAGGAGTCAAAGATTGTTTGAAGGTCTTTGGCCTGAGCAGCTCAAGGATGGGATTGCCATTAATTGAGATGTAGGTAGCTCTGAGAGGGGCAGGTTTGGCAGGGGATTTTAAGGAGTTAAGCTTCACATGTGCTAAGTTTGTGATGTCTGCTTGACATCTATGCTGAGTAAGACTGTCCAGGTTCATGTGGATATACTAGACTGAAGTTCAGGAAGGGGGTCTGAGGGTCATTGGCATAGAGATGATATTTAAAATTATGAGACTGATTGAGTCATCTAGAGAAGTATAGAAAGAGATTAAACTTTTTGAAATACCTTACTCCTTCAATATCTCTGCCTGGTACATACCACCCAAAGGCTCTGCTTGGTACCCCAAAGGCTGCAGCATCTCTATGGCCTTCTACAGTTTAGTTTCATATAAATCTGTTTCTTTTTCCAGTCAAACTGAAGTACTCACATTGCTTAAGCTCTCCTTTTGCATTGCTGCTTTACTGTTTTTGCTCTTTGTATTCCTTTTACTTGGAATGCTTTGACTTCTCTCTACTCAATTTCATTTTGCAAAACTCTGTATCTTTATTCCACTTACTTTATCTTGTCTGTATTGTAAAGTTTGCCATATTTTTATATATGTCCTTTTTTCCTAGTGAGCTAAAGATATATGGCAGGGACCATGAATTTTCATTTCTTCTACAGAAATCAGAACCCCTGTTCTACTTCTCAGAGGCAGTCTATGAGGAAGCAGGCTTTCCAAACACTAGAAACATAGAGAAAGCAAGGCTGTTTGGGACATCTAGATACTGATTCTCTTTTCTCCTCTTAGGTATAGTTGTAGCCGTATTGGCACTGGCTTTGGCTCAAGAACCAGGAGGAATCCAGATTGTTTATAATTTCTTCCTATTAAAGGGTGTAGCTTGTTAAGGCCTACTCTTCCCAAAATGGTGATATGAGCCCTGAACATAAAAGACGAGTGGAACCATAACAGTTGAGCTTGTCAAATACTGCTAGACCCTACCTTGCCCTAGAGTGAATGACTCTAGAGGCCAGTGGAAGCAGTGCTGAGATATTCTACATCTATTCCTGCTTTTAGTGGCAGTCTTACTGCTAATGAGATTTTTGATACTAAGTCAAGAACTACATGTAGATGTGTGTTTGTGTGTGTGTATGTGCTTGTGTTTGTGTTTTTTCCTCTAATTCATAGCTAATACCTAACCTTTATTTTGGGCTTACTTAAATGGGCTAGTCACAGTTCTAATGCTCTACATCTGTTAACTCTTTTAATCTTCATAAAATCCAAATGAATTAGCCACTTCCAGGTAAGAGAATCGAGGAGAAGATTGAGTAACCTTCTTCAGTAATGCTATTAAAACTAAGTGGAGAAGGGAGGGGGAGGTTGATCCCTGGAATTTTTTTTTTAATCCAAGGACATTTTAATCCAGAGCTTATACTTTTAATTGCTAATCTGTACTAGCCTATCTGAAATGCTGTAAGCAAATTTTAATTATTTTTGTCCTCTAATGGCTACTTCTATAATTTGAAATGATATACTTCTGTCATTATTTTTTGATTCATCAACTAAGGCAATAACTATTGATGACTTGCCATTAAAGATGAGGATTTAGTTCATTTACACTACTCTTGTGCTACTTTAGATTTCATATAGTTATGTATTATTGATGTTATTCTCACTATCTTTGCGATTCCAGTATACCTAAACCTCCACTTCCTGTTCCATTAACTTTTAGCAGTATCTCTTATTTCTCATTCTATAAAGTGAGGATATTATCATTCATACCCTCTATTTCATCTCTTTTACCTCCTTTCTGCCTGTTAACTTCTGCCAAATATCTATTTACTTTAAAATTATCAGTTGATAATATTTATGTTCTATGTAAAGACAGTAGTATAATGTTAAGAATATAGGTTAGAATGAGAGCGTCTGGGTAGCTCTGTCAGTTAAGTGCCAACTTTGGCTCAGGTCATGATCTCACAGTTCGTGAGTTCAAGCCCTGCATTGGGCTATATGCTGACAGCTTGGAGCCTGCAGCCTGCTTCAGGTTCTGTGTCTCCCTCTCTCTCTGCCCCTCCCCTGTTCATGCTCTGTCTCTCTCTCAAAGATAAATAAACATTGCAATTAAAAAAAAAAAAAAGAATGTAGATTAGAATGTACATTAGAGCGAGGCTGCCTGGTTTTTTACCCAAACTCTAACATCCTAGCTGTATGAACTGACAAGTTATTTGATATCACTGTGCCTCACTTTCCTCAACTTTAAAATGGGGATAATAATGATACTTACTTCACAGGATTATTATGATGCTTAAGTAATTTAATATATGTAAAATATTTAAAACAGGGCCTGGTACCTAATAAGTACTATATGAATAATTGCTATTAATGTTATAATTTTTCTGTAATCATAGTTAACTCTTTTATGCCTTCAATTTGTTCTACACATTAAAACCAATAAATAGCATTTAACTATTTAACTTATTATAATGATTATGTAAAACAGAACCAAATAGTATGCTGTGATTACATTTCTTTG